AGACCACTGAGATTTGGAATCTTTGAGAGCATTCAAAACAAAAATTTTGACTATTTAAATAGTTGCGTTAAATATAATAGTTACATAGTAGATAAATAGCCTACTTTTCTTTCTGAACATTGTTTTTTGCACTTCTTAATTCTCTAGACGAAGACCGATTTGGGATTTTGATAGTGTTTTCTATAGAGTATGCTTACGGCATTCTGTGGCATTAAATTCAAACCAAACTTCTCATTGGCTTTGTCCTGGCACTACTTTGAATATTTTGACGCAAACAATTTTGGCGCACCCTGTAGTGATCATGAGCTAAAATCATCGCGAATAAGTATCACTGGCAGTATCACATTGTCAGAAAATGCAAGTTCTTTGCTTAGTTTAGAACCACCTTTCTCGTATACGCAATTTTAAGCCGAAAAATCATAGAAAAATCTACAATATGTTCAAGATCGTTTGCGCTATAGTTCCAATATGGAGCTTCAGACCAATCAAAGATCAGGAACAACTTCGCCGGCAGTACCGTTCCCGTCCATGCAATTCAAATGGCAAGAGCCAGTGCATTCGGTAGTTTCGCTTTTAGGGTCTTTTGCCACCTCGGGTTTCAGTGGGCTTCAAAACATGCGTAAACGCTAAGCATCCAATATCACAGCAGCATTGGTCTAAAAGAAACTTGCAATTGCTGTAAAGATAAGTATTAGCGATGAAGGCGGTATCGTCTTTACTTAGAGAGCTGGAGATTGCAATGACCGCGCAACACTTGCAAGATGAAAGCATACATTGGAAAAGAATTTACTAAACAATACCGGAAATAAATAGACTTTGGGCAGAAACAGCGAGGAGTGCGGGTGTAGCTAAAAACGTTATATCGCCACTTAACTGTGATCCACAATCTGTCCTGTTCTGTGCGTTCTTACAAAAACACGCAAAATACTTGCTGACAGCTACAGTCTGCTCCGATCCAATCAGGCCAAAATTGGCATGACGGGAATCCGTGCCGCGAGGGTATTGCGTCACGTCATCGATTAGCTAGTCTGCTCCCCCGATCTATTCGCTCTCAACAGCTCGCGTATGCAGCGCAAACCTCTAGCGCTGCGAGCGCGCGATTCGGCCTGATCTCGATTGGGGCAGACTGTAACTTCGAAAGATCCAACGGCCTTTAAAGTTCGACCTATCATATGCAACGTCGGAGGCCCTGCAGACAGGATTGTATGGCTGCGAATGCGAAGGTCAGATAAGGGGAAGGAGGGTACTCCTGGCCGTTGAAAAAAAGTTAAATCCATTACAGTGCTCAAAGAGTCTGGTAAGAAGGCTAAATTTGATGTTGTGGCAAGGATACTAAGTATGTCAGGTGCAGGGATTTCAAAATTGCACATTTACACGGGTTGAGGCAGCACCTAGCTAGTGTTGACTAGAATGGATCTTTCATGACCGTCGCCACGGTAATGAGATGTATGAGCTTTTTCTAACTATAATCAGCCAATTAATCGATTTCTACGTCTCCCCTTGCTTGCGCCCTATGGCGCGGACACATATGCCTGTTTCTTTTCTTAGACTATTAAATGAGGGAACGAGCTTGGTTGGTTGCAGCTGATAGCGACAAGTTGAAGATAGTTCCATTTTTTCGATAGATTAAACGCCAAATTTACTAAAGTGCTCAAAAAATACAGCGCATCTTTTAAGAAAAAGGTAATCAAGTCTGGAGGAAGATCAGCGTTCTATAAAATGATCACTTCGCGACTCACAAGGGAAAGATGATTGATAGAAGTGGCCATTTGGAATGAGCTGTATATTAGGAAACCGTCCTCGGTAAGGCAAACTCAAAACTACTTTCGCTAGGTGCCGAGCGGTTTTGTGGGGGGAGTTACAAGGCCATTTTCCTCCGGCGCAGCCGGTGCACCCAGTGCTGAGCGCTTTGAATGGTTGAAGTTTTCGAATCGCGGCGAGCAAAACTGTGTGTAAATGAGCGATAAAATCGTAAAGGCAGCGTCCAGGCAAGTCTGGACCTATGGGGATTTTACGTGGAAAGTACTTTTGGGGCCCTAATTAAGCCACTGCCCAACCGGCAGCTCAGGTAGTGCCCTAACGCCTGAGATATTCCCCTCGAAACTGGACCCCGCGACCGTGTTTCGCATGGATTCATGGCGCAAAGCGTGAATCCTGGCGAGAAGCTGCCATGAATCCATGCGAATACGTTCGCGGGGGCCAGTTTCGAGGGGAATATCTCAGCCATTAGAGCACTACCTGAGCTGCCGCTTGGGCAGTGCCTTAGTTAGGGCCCCCAAAAGTACTTTCCACGTAAAAGCCTTATAGGTCCAGATCTGCCTGGACGCTGCCTTTAAGGATGGAATTCCTATGACAAGCTCTTCTGCCTTGAGCATTTTGTGGTTGTATTCCATACATGTTAATATATCATTTGAATCCCTTGTTGTGACATCGTAACCTCCACAGATTTACATATTGTAGAAGATTACAGCTTTTTGTAGAAATAGTGACTTTTTGCAGTAAAATGCCTAGAAATGGGCATTTTTCGTTTACTGTCACCCAATAGACTTTTCACAGAACTGCAAAACAAAGTAGCAGCAACAGGACTCGAACCAGGGTCAAGCTTGTGATGCGACTGTCGCAACGGGGGGTCGTAAAGAGGGTACTTAAGGTGGGGGGGGGGTAAGAGGAGGTAGTTAGGCTAAAATACACTAACTTGAAAGGGAATCAAAAAGCAGATTATTAGTTATGTTCTTTACATGAATCTATAAAAAAGTGGAAATCAGATTAAGATAAGAAATCTGTAGAAATTCTCAAAACATTTACAAGAGCTCAAAACACTTTTGAAGGATGTGTGATTTGATAAAAATGCTAAATGTACCGATTGGCCTAGAAATCTTGCTTCTGAAGCCTTCCTGAAGTCTCACACACTCAACAAAAGCGAATATCTTTACCAGCTGTGACCATCATGAATTTCTAAATCGTTTGTGATGTTTTTCACGGGCCCATATTTGTACTTTGGAGATGCTCTGCTATATCGATGCAAAATTTGGTGTTTTGTCAACTGTGGATTTTCTTATGATTTTATGTATGGTAGCAAAAAATGAGAAAAGGGGGGTCGTATCTGCGCCTCATCTAAATTTCTCCGGAGCTATCGAAGCTTGTTGGCTGCAATTTTGCTGTAATATGAGGCCATCCTCCTACTTTCTCTCATAAAAATTGCAGACTGTTTTATAACTTCTCTGGTAAGTTTATTTATTTATTTATTTATTTATTTATTTATTTATTTATTCATAAGCACTTCGGCGTGCTATCAATCCAACAAAACAGCTAACATGAGGATACTAAGGAGAGCCGCAATGAAAATGAAGTAGTAAACACAAAACAAAACAAAAAAAACCACCGAATATCTTCTTCTGATCAGCACATAAAGCTACAACATATGGGTGGGACCAGAAATAAGCTGAAAGGACATACTACGCTCAAAAATCCCAGTTTTTGCTTTTTAGGATCGCATCTAAATTTTGCGAGAGTCGCATCTAAATTTTTTCGAGCTTACTGCTTCTCAAGGCCTGAAACTTTTTCTATGGATAGTATGGGCACCGTGCTACACAACCTATGCTTTCCAGCCTCTCAGTCTTTTCGTGGCCTTAGTTACAAATTTTCAAACTACCGTGCTCATGCACATTTTTGACGTCGTTCTGGACGGCGCTAAAACGGTTTTTTTTTGCCGGAATATGGAAGAGGTAAGAAGTAAGCTTCTTAGTCGGAAACATCTTTTGCAGGTTCAAGAACGTCATTTTTTCTTCGTGCAAAAATTTGTGTCGCATACGGGAATCGAATTTGCTGGTCTGAAGTAAGCCTGAAAATTCAATAAAAAACTTGCAGAATCTGAAACATTATTAAAGGTGTGTATGTGTGCTACAGATGCTGGGCGCACCTGCTGACCTAGGAATTCTGCTTCCGAAACCTCACTGAAGTTCTCACGCAGGTGTTTTTTGAGATTGACATTCATTTATGCAGGTTACCTCGAGGAATGTGGGTAGGGGAGGTAAGGGAAATAGATGGGGGAGGGTGGGGGGGGGGGGGTCGTACGGACGGGTACCTTCAAAGGGGGGGGGGGTCGTAAATGAGGGTCCCGGATCGCATCAACACGCTTGACCCTGACTCGAACCCTCGACCATCTGCTTCGTAGTCCGTTGTCTTGCCACTGCGCTACCGCCACACTGCTGCGTTTTTCTAGCGCCTCGCTCATCACTGGGTGCGCCGGCTGCGCCGGAGGAAAATGGCCTTGTAACTCCCCCCACAAAACCGCTCGGCACCTAGCGAAAGTAGTTTTGAGTTTGTCTTACCGAGGACGGTTTCTTAATATACAGCTCATTCCAAATGGCCACTTCGACCGATCATCCTTCCCTTGTCAGAAACAGAAGCAAACTGGGGTTTTACCTAGAGACAATACTGTGGTCGTAAATGATAATAGAGAGAAAACGTAACTTTCGCGAATACTTTTGCAAAAGCTTTTGCTGAAGAAAAAAGCTTTGATGAAACTGAAAGGGGATTGCCTCTATTCTCCCAACAATGAGTGGCGGGGTTTGGTTCAAAGGTGAAAACATTTTTCTGTTTTTGACTAAGTGGCCTAAATCGATATCTCTTACACCCGACTTTTTGCGATTACAAGCCAAAATGCCACTTTTTTAGGTTTTTTATGTGAAACTTGGTATTTCCCGATTATAAGAGCACATACAGGGGTAATGTCTCAAGATCATACTTAATAGGGCTTGTAGTATACAACGACATATGTGGGAGGGGCTGGGGGCGGAGTTTGCCATTTTCAGACTACCTCTTTTTTCGCTTTATAAGACCGGAAAAAAATCCAGAAAAGGCATATTTGAGTACTACTATGTGTCTACTGTATAATGACCAAGTTTGAGTTCCGTACGATAATTCTTCGCAAAAATCCAATTTTCAGGTAATAATCTTTTTCGATTTTTGCTCCAAACTTTACGTGGATTATAATTTAGGCGGATCTTTTGCGGCCGTTTTGTAGAGCTTGCTTCGCTCTATCGAATGGTACCCCAAGTCTGCCAGGAAAACAAAAACACTTTGATTCATCTGGAAATACGGTTTACTTTTGGGACAACCTAATAGTTCATATCAATCAAATGTTCTCTTCTCCTAGGAAAATGGAATGCTGGGTCCCTCAAGGAGACGTACTCTTCAACTATATCATACGAGCTCCCGCTTATACCGCTACCCAAAAGTATTTCTTGCGCATTTGTTGGCGATTTTGAATTGTACAAAACAGTCAAGGATGAAGCTAATCGTGAGCAGTTACAAGACCACCTTAGATGAAGTTTTTGAATGGTCAGAGGAATGCTGCCTATTCTATGTGAAAAGACAGTACTTCATATAGGTTTAAGCAATCCTGAATATGTTACTCAATGGGAGGAACAACGCTTACAGCTGTTGATTCAATAAAAGACTTAAGTTTTCTGGTCACAAGCAATCTTTCCTTGACAAACATTGTAAAATAATTGCGGATAAAGCAACGATATCAACCTATTAGGTTGTCTCATAAGTTTTTTCAATTTTGAACTTTTACTGCAATAAGTCACGCACTTCTCAATTCTGGTTGAGATGCTGGACACCGTTCGATAAAGCAAAGCAAGTCCTATAAGATGGCGTGTAAGTTTTCGCACCAGCTTCATCACATCATGAGTTAGAAGCCAAAATCCGAGAACTTTTGAATGCGCAAAAAATTGAAAATTATCTAAAACTTTATCCAGAGAAAACTGTCCAGATCCCAGACACACTCACGCATATACACTCCACATGATACATTCATACGTGCCGTTGCTGTGTTTGTTTATGTGCTAGAAATCAAAAAAACCAAAATATTCAATTTCAAAAAAGCGATAATGCACTACTTTTAGACAGGTAATTGTATACTACAGGCCTCCAATAATACATCGGTAAATTTTCAGCTTCCTGGAAGTGCTATCCAAAAAAATACCAAGTTCAGCTTTTTTGCTAAAGTATTTTATGTTGGAATTAATATTTCTTGCAAACTGGAGCTTATAAAAAGCTGAAAAATGTGACTGTACTTCTAAAGACCTGTAGTATACATTTATCTGTTTGAAGTTAGCGCAGCATCGCTTTCTGAAGGCTTGAAAATTTTGATTTCCTCGATTTTTAGCACAGATACAAACACAGCAACTGCACATATGAATGTGTTCTGTGGAGTGTGTATGCGCGAGCGAGTTTTTGATCTCGTAAGTTTTCTCTTAACAAAGATATATACAATTCTCAATTTTTCGGGCATCCGAAAGTTCTCAGATTTCGACCTCTAACTCATGATATACTGAAAGCTGGTAGGTATGCTTACATGCCATCTTATAGAGCTTGCTTTGCACTATCGAATGGTATCCTGCATCCCAATCAGAATTGGGAAACATGTGACTTATTATTTTGGGTCAAAATTGAAAAAAAAACTTTTGAGACAAGCTTATATAATCATTACAGAGGACTATCATGTGACGATCTTAAAGTTTTATTGGGGGCATATAAGACTTACTTAGGACCTATCTTAGAATTACGGTACCGTAATCTTTAGTCCGTACACGCAAAAAGCAATTGATTAATTAGAAAAAGTTCAAAATAGTTTTATTAGAAAATTGTTGAACAGTAAGGTCGATTTATTAGGTTGCCAAAAAATAATGTCGTTTTTTTCGGGTAAAGTTGATATTACCTGAGAACTAGAGCATATCCAAGGCCAAAATTTTATATTAAAGTTGCGAAGCTTTGTAGTATACAATGGTATATGTGGGATGGGCCCAGTACTGCTGGGGGCGGAGTCTGCCATTTTCCATTTTTTAATTTTTTCTTGGTTACTAAGCATGAGAAAAATATATTAACACGTTTTGGACCGCGAAATCGCGCGCGGCGAAAAAGAGTGTACTTTCAGCCGTTAGCCTACAAAGGGACCTTATTTCGCAGCCTGTGGGCCACATTTGTAATCAGCATGTCAGATAAGCTCCATATCCAAAGTTCTGAGAAAATTCAAAGTGTTTGAATTTTGTCGCTTGAGAGGGACTTTTGTGCTTTCTTGAAAGATAGGAATAGAACTCAGATTCTAATAGTATTCAAAAGTATCTATATTGTACACGGCACACATCAGTATTGAAACTACGGTTTTTCTCTCTGATATCGAAGCAAAGGAAAGTTGCGACGTCGCACGCGTCGTTCGCGTCGCCCTACTTCGTTGCAACTGTTGTTCGATTTGTGCTCATATCTCCTAAACAAATATCGGCAGCACATCTACAGAGTCATTTGAAAAGTAGGAGGTTAGACATTTAACTTAACAACTTTAGACTAAAACCAAACCTCCTGCAAACCCGAAAGATCCCTCAAAGCAGCGTGCTGCACCATGTGCAGCACCGGTCCGAAACGTGTTAAATGTACCTATGGATAAATGCATGTGTTTTTTATGTGCAGGAGCAAGTGAGCGGTTCGCAGGATTTTCTAGGGCAAAAATCCAATTTTGGCATCACGAGTTGCTCATATGTTTTGGTTCTAAACTTTGCGTAAACAACAACTTCTGCCAAGTTCGTAGGTCTCTTGTAGAGCTTCCTTTGCTCTAACGAATGGTACCCTTCACATATTTTTCGGATTTGTCTTATGGCTTTGCTATGAAAAACGACATTATTTTTTGACAACCCAACAGATACGACCAGATACCAAGCAGTCTGTCGCAGTGCAAATCTAGGCATTCCTACTCTTGCTTATAGGGAGAGAAAATTCGATTTGACCATGGTGCATGAAATACTATTCGGGGATGTAAGCTTGACGCACTTGCCACTAGATGTTCCAATACTAGAGGAGGAGCTAGGAAGCTTATACTACCAAGGGCAGGGTTAAACGCAAGGAAATATTTCTTTAAGTGCCGAGTGGCCCATGATGTGGATATGATTCTGAGAAGAAAAATGTTCGTAGCTAAGCTATCACTGTTCAAAAAGATTCTGAGAAGCTACCTTCGATCTTCCTACTAAACTTTTACTTATATGTTTGTTGTGTTCAGTTTAACAAGGTCGTTCGATTCTGTTCAGTTGGTTTGACATTTTTTTGTCGTTCTGTGTTACCATAGGGACTTACCTATGCAATAAATAAATAAAATATATGAACAGGAGAGCACAAGACCAGTTTGGTACAGAAATCTCAATGACTAAAATATTCTTGCACACTACTCTTCTCAGTCTATCCGTACTAAAATTAGTGTAATTGGGAACATGCTCCGACCAGCCAAAATGGCCAAAAGCGTGTCATCTTATGACACGCTCAAGGCTATGTCAGTCAAGAAGGCACTCCAAATCGCTAGGATATCAATATCAACCAAGAAGAGTACATCGTCGTCAAATCCCATACAAACCTTAACGATAAAGTGTCATTTTGTTTACCTTTCATTATAGACATTAAGCAACGCGATTAGAAAATGATTCGAAGAGCTGGGTCGAGATACGCAGAATAAGAATGTCTACTCCGTTAAGCACACATCGCACTGCAGCTCGTGAAACATTAGAAGCTGGATGGATTTTCACTAGGAATCCAAAAATGAATAGAAAAAAGAAAGTGTTGTTGTTATGAATGAACTCGCACCATTTATGAAACTATGCGGGTTTTGTTCCAAGATCATCATCCATACTCACATTAGCTCATTAAGCACTCAGCGCCTGCGAGTGGTGCTCCTCTACTAGCGAACAGGGGAGCTGTCTACGCGGGTTGCAGCTTTAAACTTTCCCTGTGTGTGATGAGATATCTGGAGAACAATTCTTATCTGTTCCTCGCTTTTCAGACTCTGAGGAAGGCGAACTTCAACAATCTTCATATAAGACTCAGGAACTGTATACATCTGTACACTGAGATTTCAAAATTTGTGAAAGGCGGACTTGGAAGATTGTGTGAGAGTTGCACTAGAGAAGAAAACGAGAGAATTGCGAAAATATGGTTTTGGCCGGTTTTGTCGTTCAAATCAAAAATAGGGTTTTGCGACGTTGTGAGCGTGAAAGTAGAGATCATGTGCATCACTATGACTGGTCTTTCTCCTTCGCTCGCCGCGTCTCCGCGGGGTCTTAACGAGACCTTGCAACATTATACAGAATGCCCCAAAAAGATGTGCACACTGTTTGATCGTTAATGACGCTCTTGCTTTCATATCTTTTGCTGAGTCTGAGGTGTTGTTCTCAAAGCGAGGTTTAACTTGGATTTACGTATGGGACAATTCACCAATCACTCTTCATTACTGTAGGATTACAGTATCAACTTTCAGCATATAGCGTCACTGTGGAGTAGGCCTTTTATGAGATAATTTTTAAATATAGAGTGAAAATTTGCGTAGGAAGGTTTCAGGCGTGATGATCTCTCTACATATTATTCTGCCAGTTTTTTGAGCTTTTTTGATGGCGTATTCACATTTATGACAAACACTGGAAAATCAGTTGTTAGCCTAAATCTGAAATAGCTCATGAAAGAAACAGTGTACTGACGTGTAATTTTATATTTGGAATCATCAACTTCGATTAACCCAGTACAAGAGTTTCCGACATGATCGGCCTTTTTGTAAGGCAAAATAATGCTTTCAATGGCTTGAAATTCTCCTTGAAGGACCTACCGTAATCCTACAGCAATGATAAGCTGCTGATAAGTCGCTCCATACTGTAAAACTAAGTTGAACCTCCCTCTAAAGAATGGTTCTTTGAGCTGGGTAAAAGACATGAAAGCAAGGGAGTTATTAACAGTCAAACAATGTGCACATCTTTTTGGGACACCCTGCATATCATTCTGATAATGATGACACGACTAAGAGCGCTAACAACGTCACAGGCGTTATAAATCACTCATTGACGAGATAGGCCAGCGTTCTTGTTCATTTTTGTTGAAATCTAACAGCTTTTGTAAACTTTTGAAACTCAATCGTATTCTAGAAGAGGGTTAAGCGGGAAGTGTTGTTTTGAATTCTGAGGAATTTTCACAAAAATCTTTTTTTAACATAAAAATAAAAAGGCGCATTTTTTTGTTTTGGTGAAATGCTTTTGAGATATTAATCATGATACTTAATTCATTCACACTCATTCCAATTTGATCATAATCATAACATCCGGGACGAAACCCTGGTGATGATTGTGCTCTCATCGTGCTTAGACTGAAGGTTACCACGGCCAGTGGTAACCCCGACCTGGTGGCAGGTTTGGCCTGCAAGTCGTCGGCATCCCAAGTCTAGACCATATTAGGCCTTTTTTCAAGAAATGTCATGAATGAAGGTGCCACCGCGACTCTATAGAAATCTTTAT